ATATCTCATCACTGATGAATATCCCATCTTAGGTATGAACTTCCTTGATGAACCGGGTGGATCTTCAGTGAAGATACCGCTAAATCTACTGAGCGCGCGCCTTATATAGCTTCAATTGGCGTGCGCGGTGATGAACTGCAAGCGTATGTCATCCTTCTGAGAGGTGAAGCTTTGGGGAGAGGGAGTCGGGTACCTTTTTTTTCCCTTATGGGTTTTTCCTTGTCACCGCATCTGCTTAGCCGACCCGTGACATACACGTGGGGCTAACAAAAGGAAAAAATGGTTTTTAGGTTTCGATCTTTTGCCGCCGACTCTTTCACTTCTGACTCCCTCGCTGCCGACTACGATGACTTCAGGACTTCAGATCAGGGACTGGAACCACGCATTTGTTAGGGAATGGTATTTCTCAGACGAAATGGAAGCGAGAGAGGGAGCGATCGATTTGTTTGGATCTTGGTTGTGGGTAGAATGGGGCAATTGGGAACTGTACTCTAGAGTAGACTTGATTCAATTCAAAGCATTTCCATCCACCACGAGCTATTGTAGGGATGTAAAGTTTTCGACCTAAAGTAACACAAATATAAAGAACACATAATAACACAAATCATCAAGATATTGCCCTCGCTATTTCTGGTGCCTAACACGATAGTTCAGACTGAGAACCTAGATGTCATGACGACCATAAGACCTGCAACCGTGCCACGAGAAAGACAGCCCCTCCATCTCACCCAACTATTTCATCCTCGTACGGGCCATCGGCGTCTTTGTGCTCAAGTGCAGTATGATCCGTGACGTCGAGAGGATCTTATCTGCGCTTGTCTCTTGCCAGACTATATTCAGGGGTATCCAGGATGGCGCTGCCGACGTGACAATATCTCAGTCACCGCAAAGCTGAGGATTGCATCACGAAGTACGAGAACGTCCTGGATTATGAATGGACTGAGTGGCATGGAGATGATACCCTCGGACTGCACGCAGAGGATCCTGGACTGTGGAAAGGAGGGGGCCAGCTGTCATCTCACAACTCTATCCATAGGAGTAAGATATTTTCGTAGATACAGACAGGTAAAAAGAGCAACTACCCAGTTACTGGAACCATGGACCTCCCTCATCTCTTTCCACCAAAAGCTCTACTTACTTACACTACCTAATCAACCAGAACCAGTCCCTAGCCAAGAATCGCTCTCCACTGGGAGAGAACTAACAGAAAATGCAATTATCATCTCAGAAGACTGTATGCTGTTACTTCGTCGCCAAGCCTCGGCCTGGTCCGACATACACAGCTGTATCTCATCACTGATGAAAGAACTCCCTCAGGTCATCCAGGTGATCTTCAGTGAAGATACCGCTAATTTACTGAGGGCGTGCCTTATATAGCTTCAATTTGCGTGCGCGGTGATAAAAAACAAGCGTGACATCCTTGTGAGAGGTAAAGCTTTGGGGAGGCAGCTCTGTATATATAGCCGTCATGATATCTAGGTTTTCAGTCTAAACCTTGATCTTAGGCAGCAGGAATAGCAAAGATGCTATATCGGTAAACATGTTCTTTGCGTTTGTGTTACTTCAAGCCAGAAACTCTACTCTCATCACAACAGAAGCTGTGGAGAGACGGAGCCGAATAGGTTTCTTTCAACTTTGGTCGCCTTACAGAAACTTCCATTCACTATCTATTCAGTGTCTAATGAATAAAGCACCGCAGTCGAACATTTCCGATATATATCTCCTTGCGCAGCCTCGTTGTAACAAACCCGCTACAGCAGGCTTCAGCCTGTTTCGTCTTCCGTAGTATAGTGGTCAGTATGCAAGCTTGTCACGCTTGAGACCCGGGTTCAATTCCCGGCGGGAGAGTCGCCTCACGAGAACTACTCGTGATTTCATTTTTGGTGTTTTGACCTCTTTTTGCCTGCCATGTGTTATGTCGTTGGAGTAACCTAGGGTTGTTAATGCATAAGGTTGCATGCCTTAGTAATCGACTCAAACCTTCAGTAAATCTTAATTAAATAGAAAGGATTAAACTCTGGAGTGTCATTTGGTAGGCCAGTTCAATTGTGGTCCAGTTTTTTAAATGTCAAGTCTAAAAAGAATTCTCTTAGAATGGAGATTGGACCCTTGCTATGTAATACCCGGCGCTTCGGCGTGCTAAGTCCGGATCGGAAAGATGATGACGACGCATCCAAGATCTTGGCCATGCCAGATGGAGCCACCGATAAAGTCTCGCTCGGTCCGCAGTTTAAGTGAAGGGCTGATGTTCAATCTATCTTTAAGACTGTGGCTGCAGTCTCGAAGCTTTTTCGCTTACTAGTCGCAAAGAATAAATGCCGTATTTCCGTTTCATCGCAAAGCCTCTGTCAATGCATGCAACATGCATTGTCGAGTTGGTTTGGAAACTTGATTTTACAGTTGGATTTACTCCGTAGCACGTCTTGGCCTCATTTCGCTGACGCTTGGCATAGCCCATCATGATGATCAATAAACAGCACACGACTTCTTTCCTCAGCGGGGCCTAGCGCAACCGACACAATGTCCACTCTCCCAGTGTCCGCGTATTCCTAGTCGCTGTGGGCATTCGGTGTAAACATTGGCATTTCTCGGCGTAGGCGCATTATTACACAGCCAAGATGTTTTTGCGTCGTTACGTGCGACGAATACACACAAGTTGACGGTACTCGGATGCTGGTTGCCGTGCAGCTGACGTATATCTTGTCCAGAACGGATAGAGTCGAGTTTTGGGCGCTTAATTGAGGCTCTAATTTTGATGAGAGGAATGGAAATGACACTGAAGGCGTTAGGGGGAGATAAACTTTAACAGTCGATGAAGTCCATGGACTCAAGTATCGCATGATGATTTCAGATCTGATATTGGATTATTAATGAATATGATACTCGTGTCTTACAATTGGATGTCACTGTCACACTGTCACTGATACATTTTCTTACCTACACTCAATCAGCTAATCCCGCTCTAGGCAAGGAGGCGCGTGCCCCGCGTCCCCTGGAAACAGTCGCGGCGCCGCCCACCTGCCGGTCTTCCTTGCACTTGCACTTGCACTTGCACTTGCACTTGCACTTGCGTCTTTCTTATTCTTCCCCCCTGCTCGGGTTGTTCCTTCCGCTGGGGATAACGAACCCACAGCTTCCGTCATTCATTTCAAGGAAAGAGATCCTCATCAGCGTCTTGTCTTTTCTTAACATTCTCTTATCTCTGTGCCTCCTCTTCTCTCCTAATATCAAAACAAACATGCGTTGTTGACGTTGTCTGTGATACCTCATTTGTATCCCTCTCTTTATCTCGGCACTTTCTCCTTTTTTTCTCTTGGATCAAAAAAGTATTGCTACTTCTTCTCCCTTTCGTACTTTTCTTATCGACGATTCAACTTTTGTGACGATCCGATCCGCCCACCTCCCGTTGCATGACATTGCTCCCTCTACAAATCAAGCGCATCGCCTCCGCCTACGTTTCATTCGACTGCCAACCTCTCCTCCGTCTTCCTTCCTACCATTAGCATATTCCGATTGTACAGCAACAAGCATGCGTTCAGTAAAGTCGTTGCTCCTCTGGGGCTTCGCATCCTTTTCTTCAACAGCCGCCGCTCTCGCATTTCCCCCACTATTCCACGAAACTCGAGAAGCCGAAGCTTCGTCGTCGATTGCCAAACGTGCAGATGAAAAGACACCAAAATACTTCGTCGAAGCCGGTCGAAATATCGAGCTTGGCCATTATGACAACCGTTACTTCGAAACGAAGGTCTCGTATGAAGAACATCGTCTCGTTCTCCGAGATCTGATCCGCAGTTATTTGTTTCATATGAACAGTTACGGCGTGGAAACATGGATTGCTCATGGAACCCTTCTTGGTTGGTGGTGGAACGGCCAGATCATGCCTTGGGACTACGATCTCGACGTTCAAGTGTCAAACAATACCCTTCAGTGGATTGGGGACAACCTCAACCGCACTGAGCATAGTTGGAATTATACCGAAACTGCAACTGGGAAGTTTATCTCGAAGAGATATCTCCTAGATATCAACCCCCACCACGTTGATATCGACCGCTCAGATGGAAGAAACATTATTGATGGCCGATGGATTGACATGCAGAACGGCATGTACGTTGATATTACTGGCCTCCGTGAGCGGGAGGCAGACCGTCCAGGTGTCTGGAGCTGTAAAAACAAGCATCGGTACAATAGCCAGGACCTGTGGCCTATGCGTATCACCGAGTTCGAGGGTGTCAAAGCTCGCGTTCCATTTAACTTCAATAAGATCTTGGTTGAGGAGTATGATACAAAGAGTTTAGTCACCGAGAGTTGGGCAGGGTATGTTGCCACCATAGCCGTTTCGCCGTCATACCGTTGACGGGGCGTCCCTTCAAACCTTCACTTGCTAACATAGTTTACAGACACCGTTGGGATCATGACAACAAGATTTGGATCCAGGAGACCGAAGAGGAAGCGAAGCAGCGACAGCTCGGTGCCGTTGATCGCCATTTGGCCGAAGCAGCCGCAAATCCACAGACTGAGGAGTCGCAGGACGCCGCATAGGCCTAAACGCTCACCACTTATACTCATCCTTTTGAGTAGCTCACTGTTTCTGATTTACATTCGATCTCGTATAAGAGCTGCGAGGCAACGAAATGAGTCACGACCTAAATTTCACAAATCATACCCTTTCTCTTTGCAATGGGTCATACAAAGGTAGCCATGCCTTTGCTGCACATGAGGCGTTGGATGTATATTACGGCGTTGGAGAGCGGATTTCAGCATAGCGCTGGTCATGGTGGCTTGCTATTGAAGCGTCGACGACAGAGTTGATGGCTGTTTTCACCATTGGGGTCTTTGTCCGAGTTTATCAAATGCCTGTAAACCTAGAAAGATATCCCTAGTTGCTTGCATATTTAAGCGGTTCAATGGAATGTTGCTTTGGATGCACAAAGGTCTATACTTATGCTGAAATGTAAAAACAATATCTATTAACAAGGGTATCGAGAATCGCAAACAACCCATCATGACTCCTCTATCCAGCTCTTCCATGGAACCGTCTTTTGTCGGTTTGATTCTTGCCAACCGCCAAACTTGGCCCCATCTCCAAGATCAATCAAGGGCGCCATACTGGGTCGACCATGCGCGCACTGAAAAGGAAATGCACAACGCGACAGGCGAGAGATGAGGTCTTCACATTGATTCACCGACAAAACATCGTTGAACATGATTGCGCCTAGTACAAAGTCAGAAAAAGCGGAAACAAACAGCAAGCAAGAGATATACTTCGACAGGCTCTGGAGTGTAGCAATTCCAGAATACCCCTTGGACACCCGTTGAAACGTGATATCAACGGCTTGTGAGGGGTTGTGGTTGATGGTCGCACAAGTGGAACACTACTATCCACACTTCGCCAAACTTCTGTTCGTAAAAGTTCGATAAGAAGTCGGGGCTCTAGTCTGCATCGTTCGATGATGCTTGGAGGGAGACCTGTAACTCTGACTTTGTTTTGTGGGGAGTTGGGTGTTTGGTATGTGATGCCCCAAGCAGCAAAGTAATCGCGATGTTGTTCTAGAAGAGTCCATTCTTCTTTTGAGACTTCGAAGATTACAGGTCGGTCCAGAGGTTCCATGATTGGTGAAGTTTGGTTTGTCAAGGGGTCGTGTGTGAAATAGGTCGCCATGAGGTCCTCAAGTTGACATCGCTCATCGACTGCGTGCTGGTCCAGCATGACTAACGCGGAACTCTGCTTCTCGTGCACCAAGGCCCCAGATACTGCACGCTCAAGGGGAAGTTTCACCAGTATGAATTTGCGGTCGACTTGTTCTATCACGGTAGCGCGAGCAAGTGCGTGACGTGAGATTCGCCCACTGAGGCTCATGGATCCTGTTTCGAAACCAACATGGACGCTTCCATGCCCACACGTATGCAGCTGATCTTTTGCTGAGCTGTCGATACACGGCACAGATGGTTCTACAGGGTGAAAAATTGGATTCTCCCATGACCTGATGACACCCTGGAGCCATTTGCTACGATGTTTGTCTCGCTTCTGTGCACCTTGACAGGTAACACTACCGCTTGTGTCACCACCACCTGTTGTGTCGTCAACAGTACATGCGCCTGAGATCACACCACTGTTTGCAGACGAGCCTGCTTTCTCGCCTTCTGGTTCAGGGGATGGCTCATCAAACGGTTTGCGCAACAGTTTCCCCCCTTCTCCAACAAGACGACCCCCCGGTGACTCTTCTCGCAACTTCGTACGAACATCTACGGCTTTGGAGGTGGCGCTGAGTGGTGTAGCTCTCCCAACTTTGATCCGGTGCCAACCCTCAAAGGGGCTATCTGCTCGTGCTCCAAGTGAACCAGATCTGGAGACAGGAGTGACGGAACTGGCTCTCGAGCTATTCGATGATGAGGCTGGTTGCTTCTTAGGCTTTTTCGACCGGCCCAACGTTCTTGTTGTCGAGAATAAGGATTCCTCGGGGTCTAATCGAACTTTTTGTGGACGAAAATGATGCTTTTTGAGAAATCCGTAACATGTTACCTTCAAAAGATCAATGATGGCGGACAGGGTCTGGCCTTGACTGTCCAGTCGATCTGGGTTGTCGAAGCCCTCCAACCCCGTAGTGCTGATTTTGAGATAGAACATGGGCCATCTCTCGATAACTTTCCTACTCCTCAGATCTCTTCCTGTAAACTCTCCCAGCTTCGGCGAGTTACCATTATTGTCTTCATTTCCATCAATCACACCAAAGCTAGAGTTTCCAAAAGTCTTGTTGATTTCTTCATAAAGAACATCCGTGCCAAACTCGTTACTGACTGGTTGGATCCCAAGACTGATAAATTGAGAGCGCCGTGTCGCAACAGGATGCGTAGAGATAGCGCCTTTGACGGAAATCGGCCCGCATGACGCTGATATGGGGACCCAGGTATCTGTGTCGTCTGAATCGGCCAGGCCAGCTTGTGTGAGAAGTCGAGAGGTTCTAGACATGCTGTCTGGTTTTTCAGCTGGTCGAAACCGTAATTCGCGCTGAGTTCCTGCGTTCTTGAGTGAAACGGATACACCTAATGGCCAGGCAAGTAGCAGGCCTACGACAGCTCGAATCAATTTCGACCATTCCTTGTCAAGAGCAGATCTTTCAGTAAACGTCACTCTCTGCTTAACCCTGACCGGCATGTTGCCGAAGAGATCTCGAACAGTCGTACGAGTGCCATGATCAAAGTTGACAAGCCGCGATTCAGGGGTCGAAGGCAACTGTCTAGCCAGTATGCGAGAGTTGTGAAACGAGATAGAATTGTGTGAAATATGCCTTTGATGGTGAGATGTGATGGCTAGAAGAGAAAAAGTAGCAAGGGATGCTAGGAAATCACCGTGTTTCCCATGAAGAGAAGATCTTGAGGGGAACTTGGATGTATCTGCGAAGGCGTAAGTACAAATAGCTTCACGTAAGTAATATCGTTTCACTCACGGTGGAGCTTCCCGAGGCCCCCGCCATCTTTAAATTCTTCGGGTGGAATTCCGGACCCGTTATCTTCAACGGTACAATTTCCCCTGCTGTAGTCGATCGAGATGTTGATCTTGGATGCGCCGGCGTCTAAAGAATTTGTAATGAGACCGCAGACAACGCCATTCAGAGAAGTGATATTGACCGAGGATTTAATCTTTTCGACGACGTCCTGAGGAAGTTGCCTGATGATCATACTCTACAGCAGATCATGCTTGTTTGTGTAGAGTTGGTCTTTGGTTGTGGTGTTGAAAGTTTCAAAGTTCAGATTGAGAAATGACGTCGAAGCGAGCTGAAACTGAGGTGAGCTGTACCTACCGAGTAGCTACCTAGGGGGCACCTGGTTTTAGGGCGATCTAATTAAGGCACAGTGGGTAACCGTCCCCGAATCCAGGGTCCGCTTGGTGGAGGTGGCGCCAAGAAAAGATGTGCCTTGAGCTTATAGCCAGCTCAGTCCAGGCTCGAAGCCACGGGAAATTCAACGGGTACCTGCGGGAGACGTAAGGGATAAAGGGGACTTGATACGTTTGGAGGGGCCTACAATTTGAGTCAATGATAGGGTCATGAACGAATAGAATAGATCGTCGTCTTGGTCCGTGTAGTTTAGGTAGTTGTCTCGTCATGCAACAGTTCCATCACGTGATCCAGATCCCGACCTTCGTACCATCATGCTTCGCCGCTTTCAGCCTTTGTACTGTTACAAGCCATGCCACACACTTTGATCTGCTGACGACGTCTCTTCTAGCTTCATCCCTTAGTTTTCGCCTTTCATTGTTCTGTCTTCCATCCACGATTGACGCATCATTTTCGTTTCTTTTCTCCTCCGAGCGAGCCTCTCTTCTCTTTACTGTGTTGATTGTCTCCCCGCCTCCACCCGCTACCCAACGACGTTGTTCTGGTAGCTTCGACGTAACGTTTCGTTTCAATTCAACAGCTTCTTCTCAATTTGATGGCGACGACCGACGCTATCCCTCCAGAGCATGGTGAGTTTCGAAGTATTGTTCATGTTTATGAAATTTACCATCACGCAATATCGCCACCTCGCGATAGCCTCACAATACAATGCCTGATGCTAACATATCAGACCGTCAAGGTCAACGCAGGAGACCGTTTTCGACATGGGTTAAGAAACTCACCAACTTCAAATCATCCGATGGTGAACGTCAAAAGAGACACAAGAAACGCAGCCACAAGAAGAACAACCCTTACCCGGAATCTGGACAGGTCGGCAATGGTGTAACCAACGGAACGAGCGCATGCACCTTTACCACCTCACAGACGGGTACAAGCAATACCAGTGTGGACCGATCCACTCGGACATCTCGAGAAGATCAGGGACCGCCAACGATCGGGCGTGGAAGTGTGGCCGGTACGGTAATGACAGATCATGAGGCCTCCCATTCACTCATGGCACCCAGCCATAGGGCAAGTTCTGTCGCTGGAACGAGCCGTACCGTTGGTGGAGGAGTTGAATCTAGGAGGGGGGGAGACAGTACATTTTCAAGTCCAGCACCATCTGTAAGGTCTCTGACGACGACCTTGACTACGATACAGTCGATGGCGCCTAATGGGGCTGGGCAACCTCAGAGTCATGCTTCACAGCACCATGGCAACACGCAGTCTATTCAATTCACCCAACCGTTCCCCACTACTACAGGGGCGCCAGCATCGGCCATCCCGCCCCATTTGGCGCCAACTGGCAACCCAACGACTTACACGTCTGCAACCGCCAACAATCTCCTTACAGATAACGCATCTATCCTGACTTTGGCGTCATCAAGTAAGCGACGACGGAGGCGTTCTCTCGATACCGATGCCTCTGTGCGTGCTCTTGCGCCTTCGTCGCTTTGGGGTGGAAGTCGTGAAAGTTTGCCACTTAGTGTTCTAAGCGCGAACATTGACCCTATGGGTATGCCTACTACTCCCGGTATTCACGGCAATCCTCGAATGGCAACAGAACGCACGAGCATTTACTCTGCAACAGGTGTTGGGCCTGCGATTTCTGGGGATCGAAACAGTTATTATGCCAAACAAGGAGATGCTGCAAGTGTTCGAAGTGGATTGCTGGGTCATGGACGAGCTGAGAGCGTGAGCGGCAGCATTGGTGGTCTGAGCAGTCCTCTAATTACGCCACGAGAGGTATTCAACGAGAAGAGCGAGAATGAGAAAGAAGATACCCCTGTGGCTTCTAGAACGAAGGAGGCATGAGCGTGTTGATTTTTACTGCGAATGATTGATGCTTTGTTTTGCTTTATGGTAACTATTGGGTTGGTTGGGTCTGGCGGGTTTGGCAGGAATGAGAGCGTATCTGGTGTTTTGCTTGATTTATATAGAACAACGGTTCGGTGCTTACTTACTATGCGCAGTCGAGGGAAAGTTGTCCCTTAATATACCATACATGATACCCTGACAATTGTTATGATGAGTACCAAACGAGCGAGTTTTTGATTAGCTTTACGTGATAATTTGATATTCTACAGTGATATGGATGTAAGTAAACTAACATGTGCCCCTGTACCTAAGGTAGGATAACCCCTTAGGTATAGGGGTAAAAGCGGGTTAGAAAAATACTAAACCGGGAGATACTCTTTTACTTCTAATTAGCTATATTAAGCAAGATATAATATCTTAGGTTTACTTACCTTAATAAAAGTCTTATAACTTTAACCTTTTAATATACTAACTTTAAGTTTAAATAATATATTATTAAAGAATTATAAATTCTTTTTAATTTAAAAGGCCTTTTAATAATATAAATAAATCTTAGTAATAGTTACTATAAGAAAAGATTTTTTATTTTATAATATAAAATAATAAAGATAAAATAAATAATT